TATTAGGAAACTAAATTCTTTAAGGCCTTATTAAAGAAATTCCGAGAATATAACTAGAAAATACTTAAAATTAGTTATGACTTTTTTAATTAAATTATTATATAAGCCCAGAATAAAGAAATCTCTTTTAAGTCTTATATTAATATATTTAATAAAATATTAAAGAAGTTATTAAAAAGAAAAGAAATAAATAAAATTATTTAATACCAAGAATTTATAAGAGAATTATTTATTTTAGTAAGAAATTATATTCTTAAGAATATAAATTTCGAGCCTATAAATATTTCTATTTATAAATATAATAAAATATAAAATAATAATAATATTTTATTAATATAAAAAAAATACCGTTTTAATATTACTTTTTTAGTTAAAGTAGTAGTATTCTAACCCCTAAATCGGGGGGGTTTGATTACTGTTTTTAGGGGTCGGAACACCAAAATTAAGCGAGCATTATCACGTACACTAGTATCCATCGGCATTTCCTTGCCTCAACTTCCGACCACTAGAAAACCAATTCCTAAAACAGAAAACAATGACTTCGTCAAGGACCCACTAGCTAGGGCAGCTAAATATGGAGGGCCTTAACCCCATCGTCATGGCCGTCGCCTGGATAACTCTCTTGGTTTCCTCAACGTCATCCTCTTTAGTAGTATCCTTATTTAAACTACTTAAGAATAGTCTGCCCCTTCTTTTCCAAGGTTATCTACCCTTCCTTAATATTCTTTTCTTGTATTAAAATACGACTTCTTATAGTAAGCAGAGCAGGCCTTAGCTCACATAGCTATTTGTTACTCTCTAATCTCAATACCTAATTCTCTCTTATCCTCTGTTCCTATAAACACGTCCCTTACTCTATAAGTAGAGTAGATCTTAGCTCGCAAGTCTAGTCGTCCTCTGTCGCTCTCCTCTTCTGTCGACGTCCCTTACTATCCCTCTAAAGTTAAGCCAAGGGCCTAGGTATAATAGTCAGCCTTCTCACCAGACGGGTTAATCTTAGTATCAGTATCAGACGACCGAACTATCAAGCTATGGGGTACACTCCACTTCTAGCCAAACTTGCCCCAATATGTTTAAGGTTGCGTCTACGGCCCGTTTGCTCGTCTGCTCGTCTGCTCGTCGGCGTAGTTGTATTCGTTGGGGTTTCGTTAGGTAAAGTCGTAGTCTGCTCCGGCTTGTCTTTGTACTCTCGACGCTTTCAATACTCCAGCCTCAGAGAGCATCTCTGCGGATTCCCCCGAACCTGATTCCGGATATACGCCGTACATATTGGGCTTGATATCCATATTGGCAACTTCTCAGAGCATAAGGGGAGATAGTCTGGAGAGGTGCGTTTTGTAGGATTGTTTCGATAGAGTACAGGGTGAGTTGGTATGGAGAGGCGAAGACTTTGGAGTACGGGCAAGAGACGAGGCAGGAAATCTACGAGAGATGAGAAATTTGCTTGTACCGTTTCCTCATTTCTGTCGACTAGGTAGCGGATATACAACGTCAAAGTACCTCAGAGTCTGCTCCCCCCGGTTTACCTTATTAAGTCTCGATATCGGTCCCGTTACCGAATTCAAAATGTTTTCGAGTCTCTGCCCAGTAGTATATATTCCCAGTAACAGAATTATCCTGCTACTTAGTGATTCTCGATCGTAATAGTAGTAAGGGCTGGCTCAGTCTGTTGCGCTTGTACATCCGCATCGCAGTATAGTATAAGAATCGTCGATAAGGGGTTATTATCAAGTCTGGAGAAGGATCAGTCGGTATATAAAGGCACAGGAATTGAACTGGCTGACCTTGATATAATTATAACCCGCAAGATGTGGTCTTTGCAAGTCGTAGAGTTGAGAGTACTGAACGTTGGAGAGGCAGGCAGCACCATATCTTCTCTTCCCACCGGCGGACTCTTCAAATTACAAAGGGCCATGGGATGAGCTTGGGGCAGAGGGTCTGAGGTTGGCGGGAGCGGTGGACGTCGCTTGGTTCCTCAGTCTGTATCGTATCATGCAAAGTAGGCGCAATTCCACTCCAAGGCAGGCAGGCTAGTTGAAGAGTTTTACGAGATTATTGCAGAGTTAAAGTATTGGAGTTCTTTGGAGTGGTTGACTGTAAGGTGACCCCCTTACGGTAGACAAAAAAGTTCGCTCGAATTAGTAGTCCCACCAAAACTCGCAATTTTCATCCGCAGATTATACTATACAGGAAAATCGCAAAAATAAGCAAAGTTTATAAAGTTACAGTTTCGAAGCTCTTATTATATATATCTCAATTTAAAGCTGTTTTATGGTTCTGTTATAGAGCTATTGCGGGAACAATATGTACCTCTGTTTTTGGCCAGATTTTGGTAGGGATTTATTGCTAATTAGTACGGCTTTTTTTGTCTACCACGAGACCCCGTAGCATCCCTGACCCCGCCCAATACTGGGAAAGCAATACCGATACAAGCTAGAACTCTTAGAGATAAGCCCAAAATATTCAATAGTCTGTTTACTTGCAAATACCGGGAACATCTCATCAATATTCATTACAACAGGAAATGGAGATATTCTATCCTACCTAAACCCCGTCTCCAAATTCAGCGGATATCTTCTATAGAGACCGAGACCGACCCGGGAGAGCTAGAGGCGATCATAATCATCGGGCTTTCGTAGGAGACTTTGGGTCGCCCAGAGCATACCGAGATAATACAGGTATATTCTACTCTACAAATCTTTCTTTCTTTTGCCTGCAAGGACCCAATAAACCAAGATTCTCCTCGATATATACCCGCCGAAACTGTATACACCTTTGGAAAACTATACCCGGTTGAATTAATACTAACTTTGCTGGGGCAGAAACCGAACTTATATACGCCTTTATTTCATCTTGCAAGTCTGGCCCTCCCAGTAATACATCCTACAACGATACAGACGAAGACATGGATTCCTTATTGAAGACAACCCCCCGTAAGCCAGCAAAGGGAACAGACGCCTTCTATAAGCAGGTCCTCCACCCTCGAGGTATTAATATTGGCCCGGATTACTGCAACCCCCGTACCACCGAATACATCCAGTCAAAACCTATCGACAAAAGGGCTCTCGGTCACGCATTCGTCAGTTTCAGCCCTAAAGAGCTAGTAAAGTCATTACAAGCCGCAAAAGAGGCTGCATACAATAAAGTGCAATGGACCATCTGTTCCCCCCCGTTCGTCAATACGAGCGATTGGTCAATCGGGGTCCGTAATTGGGCAATAGGGACCCCGATTGACCAATCGCTCGTATTAACGAACGGGGGGGAATACATCAACATCTACCACCCATATTTCCTCCTCTCAAATCGCACCTTTAAAGGTAGGGTAAGAAGGCAACCGCACCATCCGCTTTTCTGACATAGAACAAAGCCAAACATCTGCCTTCCTCTTCCGACAGTTTTCGATCGACGATCCTCGGGTTTGGCTCCCTGTACCAAGATATGGGAATAGCTGAGCCGAGTGCTTACAGACTGCAAGCAATATAGCAAGAACTGTACCTTCCTAGACTACGCCTACTTTATTATTATACCTAACTTCGAAGACCCAGTAATTCGACGCTTCGGTAGTCTACCCGCATATCGCCAAGCTATGATTTACAAAAAGATGTATACCTCCTGCCCACCCCACTTCATAACTGAGGAGAAATCCTCGCCGGATAACGACCGTACAGCTCATACCTACCTTGCCTTGGTAAACAGTAGCCTTCTTCAAGAACGACTTCTTCTTCGGTACTTAACAGACGAGGTACAAAGTATCGGGGAGTTCCCCTGGGACGAGACGTTATATATCTACTTAATAGCGAATTGCGGTTTACAACCGATTGTATCCCGGATGAAAGTACAACCCGCAAACGAGGATCTGAAGAAGGCTGGGGCAAGCGTACGTTTCGATCTGGAAAAGCTCTGTATCTTGGATACTACAATCCCGAGCGATTGCAAGGAGTTGAGAAGCTGGATCAACTATATAAACGACTGGGGAATCAAGGTTTATTAACCTGTACTTCTGGCCGAATGCAGAAAGGCTTGCTGTAGCGATTATTACAATGGGGAAAACACCAGTCAGAGGAAATTGGAAATGGTAACATTCCATTATACCGCTACTGGTGCAATCGGCTTCTCTCGTCAGGGTAGTAAGGGTAACGATCCCCAAGACCTCCAGCCCACCCAAGACCCACAGCCCAGCTATATACAATCTACGATTGCCGTAAGTCCTTGCCTATACTACTGCCGGATATCTTAACTTGGATACTAACGTTTGCAATTCCAGTCGCAATTCAAATCGCCCAAAGCCTGCGTAACTCCGAAGCTGTCCACCAACCGCCCTCCTCTCGGCCCTATATCGTACAATCGCAACGGAGCCACAAATACAAGCCCGCGTCCCGTAGCAAGGTTCCAGGCGGCCAAAATCCCTGGTCAGTACAGTACTTCCCCCAGCTCCATTACTGCAACAAAGAAATCACAGGCGGCGGCCAAGACCCGTAGTCAGTACAGTACTGCCCTCAGTTCTACTGCAGCAGCAACGAGATTACAGATCAAGCCGTACGATCAGGACGAATAATGGCAAGAATTTCAATTTGGATAGTTTATCAAGTCGTTCCATATACTATATGGTACTGGATTGTTCTTTATATGGGACCTTGGCATTTCTCAGGTAATACTAGGTATATCTTGGAAATGAACGGTATTAGAGGTCAGCTGAGAGATCGAAGTGGGAAGTAAGGAAGGAGCTCTGAGATGGCGTTTTGGTATAATGTTTTTGGTTTTGATACCCCTTATTATATAATAAATGGTCTCTTTAAGAAAGGGCTAGAGATACTACAAATCAAACCGTTATTACAAATACGAATTGCCCTTAGTACTTCTGTAATATCAAGTCCTTTCTTTCCCTTAGAAGAGTAAAGTGTTTTCGCCCTGGCTATATATATTATAGGATCTTTGAATCGCCCCGATTTTGAAAAGAAGTCTGCCTCTTCCCTATCTCGTTCAGAAGTTAATACATTATATGTAGTATAACTTCTATTACGTAATACATACCATCCCAACCGGAATTTGAAATCCTTGTTCTGAGCAAGCTCTATAAAGAACCGTTTACTGTCAGAACCTTCGTCCAGGGTATCCGGCTTGGTAATCAGACCCAGTGTACGGTTACCTTTCGGGTCAATAGCCCGAACATACTGTATTACTTGCTGGAGGGCAAAGTCGCTCTTTGCAGAGACCACCGCCAGGATAATACTCCGCAGCTTTCTTATATATCCGAAGACGAGTGACTTGACAAGTTCCGAATCCTCTATCAACTGGTTTTTGTTTCCAGCTAGGAAAAGGACTGGAAGATCGACTATAGTAAGGTACGGCTGTAACGGGCCCGAGATCTCGATACGGAGGATATCAGTACTAAAGACCTTTTCGTTTCCGTTCAGACTCATGGCATCCTTAGTATCCTCGACCATACGACTGATTCCCAGGACATCAGTCTCTTCTTCTCATTACTGGACCGGTCTGGGCCAGGGACATATGGACATTAATACCTACAGAGGGGCTGTGGCGCAGGATGAGTTCTGTCGGGAATCGGGTATAAAGGTTATTCTTTATAGGGAATAATATACCAGATACTGCTTTAAGGGGGAAGCTCTTACCAGAAGACTGGTTACTACAGACAATAATCTGGGGCAGATCAACGAATTGGCTAATACCCTGTAACCGCAGCCTGTCGATAATGCCGAGCAGGTCCCGATACTCTATTGACTGTAACGGGATACCTCCTTGGGGAGGCTCAGTGGGATTGTCTATAGGGTCAATATTAGTTACCGTAATACGTCTTTATACTAATTAGAATACTGCTTATATCGTTTTGACTCAATCGCATAGAGTAGAATTCCTTGGAAATATCTAGTAATCCCGCTACCGGGTTGATTTGAAAGATAATAGGAAAGGATAAGAGAGGATGGCAAAAGGCCTAGTAGTATATTCTATTAGAAGTCGAGGTCATTCAATGAAGTATTATTAATTAATGGTTGGAGTTTGAGCTTTCGTCGGCTAAACTCCCCAATCTTATAACAATTTCCCTTAATCCACTTCAACTATTCTCGATCCACCGTCCCCCTCCTCCCAATCATAGAAGGCACTACCTATACTACGAAGGTCTGACTGCTTGATATTAATATTAAAGTCTCTCAGGCTTCTGTTTATCATTCCTTTCTCTATCTTATCTTACTTAAGAATCTCTATAGTATTATTAATAACCTTTATTCTTCCGGTCCGCCACTCCGGACTCCTCCTCTCGAGTATACTCCAGAATGCCCGATCTCGCTATACTAGCCATTTCGGGAAGCCCTGAGGAGGATACTTTATAAAAAGTATAATAATTCTTTCTGCCTTTTCTATATATTTTGAAACATCTTCCCCCCAGGTTTTTTGCTGATAGCAAATAAATTTACTGTACCCATCGGCCATCCAGCTTATACCACCTGATACAATATAATGCCCTATCTCACCAGGCTGCGTATACAATGCCGTATAATAAGGTCCAAGCGAGGGATAATAAAGGAAGTCCCTTTATATAATATCAAATGTACTCTACTTATTTCCAGTCTGGTATACTTTCCAACTGTACTCCCACCCAGCCTGCTACAGTATATCGGCCATCTGCAAGACGCTTAGAGGCTAATCTGGGAGATCGTAGCCGTATATATCTTTCCAGAGTATATATATATTCGAGTATTCGAGGATCTTGGTACAGGTAACGGAAACGCAGTTATTGATATAGTTTTGGGGGTTCAAGTTGGAAGCGCTGAAGGAGAGGAGTTCGAGAGCGGTACCGAAGGTCGAGAGGTTACTGCAGAGAGGCTCTGCTATTTGCGGTAACTGGTTAGTCTAGATATATAGGAACTAATATGGAAGAAATACTGGGCTTACCGGGCCCGCTTCCGTATTTAATATACATTTTGATACAGTTGAGTACAACTCGGCCTCTGGCAAACAAATCGGTTCGAAGTCGGTATTCTTTGGTAGTAGGACTTCTGTTATAATAAAGTACGAGAATACTAAGCTTGTTTTCCTATAGTAGATTGAAACAGACAGTTCTGAACTGTAGTATTACGAATCGATACAGAGGTATTTGCGGACCTTTACAAACGGCTTCAACTTCTAGAAATTCCTCCTCGAAGTACGGGATCGAATAGATGAGATAGCAGCTGTATCGAAATGATTTCTTGCGGTATTATATACTGTATAAAGGGATGGGTTAATGAATTAAGAAGAAAGCTGTCTTAATTTGGTTACCTATCTCGATAAAATTATTAGGGTTAATAATATAGCTTTATAGGGCTTGTATAGGCATATATATAAGCCCCTGAATATAATAGGGATCTTTCGTTCTATCGAGAGGACTACCATATTTACTTCTTAGTCGAAGAAACAGAGAGAAATGCAGAGAGTATATAGCTCACTTATCTGTTTTGAAGAAGCTATACTAAACCACTTACCAGAACGAAGTAGGGTCTCATACTACTTATATACGTTTCTTATTCCTTTATATTATTTTAATATTAATAATATTTAAATAAAAAATATTAATAACTAAAACCACTTATAGAAACTATAAATATTATTTCTAATTATAATAATAGCTTTAATTAATCTTCGAATTACTTTAATTTATTCTCTTATTTCCGAAAGATACTTTTATTTTATAAGAAACTATAAAATAATAAGAAAAATATGTTTTAATTCTAAGCTTATTATTAGATAATTATAACTCTCTTTAATATTACTATTAAAGCTTTTAATTATAGCTACTTTACTATAATAGTTTATATTTAAGACTATTTCCTAAATATATTTCATATTCGGAACTTATAATACTAGAATATAGTCGAATTTTATTTAAGCCTTCTTGGAATATAGTTCCGATACAAGTACGAGTAGTAATCCGATTAAGTAGTCTGGGAATACTAAAGTCAATTATATACCTTAAATAAATATTGGCTAGCTTACTAAATCTATTCCGCTTATTAACGAGCTTAATCTTAATAGATATTCTCGGCTTTAAGCTCGCCTCGGCTACAAATCCTATTAATATATTACCAAGACAAAGATTAAGGAGAGTTACTGCAGCTCTAAGACTAGTATAGGATCCACCAATTACAAGTACCTTTATAGGACAGCAAGCCCCCCTATTTACCGCCGTTATCTTAGAAAGAAAAGCGGATATATTAGAGAAATATCTACAAGAATTAAAACGAATAGAAAATGCCAATAGCTTATAAAAGTACATAGAAAGCTTCCGACAGGACAAGGAAAGCTCAATATTACTTGCTAAGCTAGGGTATAAGGGAGTTTTATTTTCCTCCTTAAGAACGGGCATTGAGAACTCTCGGCTCCACTTGTTTCCGGGGCTCAAAGATAGTACTACTACGGATTCAATCTAGGGATGGTTATAATACCGACTTTACAGGACCTTTCCAGGCTGTATCCCAACGAAAACCTTACCAAGTATAATAGCTTCTCTATCCCATCCAACCGGTACCGAACGACTTTATACTGGGCGTTTCTGCTTGGACCTTTTAACGATTTGTATAGGACGATAAGTAGGATATGGAATACTAAAATACTTACTACTACTTTATAATAATTAGAATATGCTTTTTAGCCCTCTAATAAGATTTTGCTTAATTAACTTAATCTTCTATTTCGCTTTATTAATCCTATTAATAAAACCAATTTTATAATAAGCTATACTTTAATATATTAGTAGTATTATTTTGGTAGGGACCCTACAAAAAGGGGATAGAGATTATAAAAGTCGTTCGGTACCGGTTGGATAGGATAATATCGATATAGAGGGGGGATAGAAGTTACGGGACTCAGCCTCGACTTGGCTACTTGAAGTTAAGCTCATCTGGTAACTTATACCTATTAATCAAGGAAGAAGGTTGGTATTATATATTAATTGGTCCTAAGAGAGAAAGAGAGAAAACTGTAAGTCGAAGTGGATATACTTAACCCTGGCTAGCCTCGGTAATAACGGATCTGATAACTTAAGCTATTAGTATATTATCTTATCTAATCGAGATTTAATTTCTCATTCGTAAACGCTCTATAGTCTCAGATAGACGAATTAGGCTTAGAATATAAGGGGAGTATAAGATTAATTTGCCAAGAGAGCAGAAATATATGCCCTCTGCTCCCCCCTCACCCAGTACCTGCCAGTCGCTTGAGCAGGGTGGGCGGCGCCGCTCTACCTGAATACGAGAGATAAGCGAGGCAGGGGCCTGGCGGATTCTTGAAGAATAATACATACTTGGGTATATAGTATCAGTTAATTGGCTAGAGCTTACCAAATAATACGGTCCTTCCTCTGGTACAACTACCGACTGAGAAAGGATACTAAGGATCGATACTTCTAGTATAAAGAAGTTGAAGGATACAGGTGGTATAGCTTTGATTCCATCCTTGGAGCAGGTACGTAATAAGACTGGAGAGCCAACTATTGATTCCTGGGCTAGATATATAATAAAGAGGAATTTCAGTACGGAAGGTCAGGATAATTTCTTCCTTAAACAGCTAAATGAGTACCCAGATGGCAAGGTTAAACAGTATGGATTGGCTAGGCCGTAGAAGATTGATAATAATACTGGTGGTTTATACTACTATTAGCGGGTGGTTATATACAGAACATGCCTCCTTAAGAGATCTCGGAATACATTCTGCTATAAACTCAGTAACAGCAATTTGAATTTTATAGAAATACTTGGTAGTTTTAATACTACTAAGAATTACGAGGAAATTACTTTACTATATAATATTATCCTTTCGCTCAAAGTAATATACTAATATTTTGTTAAAATCTCAAATTACCCATTATCAATAGAGCGAAACCCGTAAAACTTTAGTCTAAAAACAACAATAATAACAGAGCCCGTTACGGCCCCAATATCTCGGTCCTTATCTTCCTCGAATAACGAATCTATAGGCTCAAGTAATAGCTCTAATACTATAGGGACAATTATTGGAATTGTAATTGGATATATTATTGGGGTTTTACTATTAGGGCATTTTGTACTTGTTTCCGGAGAAGGGAATTGAGGGAACCGAGAGGAGAAAGGGGGAAGATGGGGAGAGAGGGGAGGGAGGAATAAGGGGAGAGGGGGGAGTTAGAGGAGGTACAGGAGAGTAAGGAGAACAAGGAGTACGAGGCGAGAGAGGCGAGAGAGGCGAGAGAGGCAAAAGAGGAGGGAGAGGGGGGAGGGGAGAACAAGGAGGAGGAATTCTTCTTTTGTCTATCTTCTAGCCTTTTATTACGGGATAGCCGTACTGAATTTCATACTTAAGAAGTGCACTTAATAGATTAGTGCTATTCTTTCAGTAGACAGGAATACAGGGTATATAAGGCCAGAATTTGTTACAGTACTAGCTTGGCCGTCTTAACAGGAGGGATTTGAGAGTGATATTTCATTTCTAATAGAACTCCCTCTACTCTGACCTCGAGCCTGCCATATAATTGGAGTATACCGACTAGTATATATATACTGCCGATTTATCCCTCAAAATACCCCTTCTTAATAATAGTATATATCTTCCATTATATCCCGGCTGTTATTATATCGACTATACTATAGTAGACTCCAATACTGGATCGATCGCGGAGGTATATTTAAGCTTCTGAGTAGCCTGGCCGGGAGAGCTAATACCCGCAGAGAGAGCTGGATCGTAACCCATTATTGGTATACTGTTAGCCGGTCCGAGCATCTGGGATTGGTTTCCGTATGGGTTTGCTATAGCTACGAGATAGCCTTGAGAAGGGACAATGCTTGGTACTAGTCGAATGGCTATAGGACCTGGCTGTACTTTGAAGAGAGTATTATAGCCCAAGTACTTATGCTTCGACTTTTGGCACTTGTAGCAGGCAGGGTATTCTTCGTTACACTAGTAATGGAGTTAGCAGATTGTATACTTCAAGGTAAATTATATAGAATTTGAAAATAAATTACTAATCTAGTTTTCCTTTTATATATTTAGGAAGCTCTTAGTTACTTGTATATAGACGAAAAGAATATATTATAAGGAACCCCAAACTTTAATCTATTATCTATCCTATTAAATAAAATTCGACTCATTTAAAATATCGTAAACTAATATTTATTTTGTACTTTCTGCAAGTCAAGTATCCTGTCTTAACTCGATACTTGACTTCCTATACGGCAAAGTATATTAGCGAAATACGAGGCTGGTTGGTTATCAAGATTACGGTATCGCTTACCTTATTATATCTGCCAGTACTAAAAGGTCGACGATTTTCCTAAAAGTAATATTTAAATTGAATTGAGAAATACTATTATATTTCTTTATAATATTAACTAGCGTCACCTGCTCAGAGTTAAGCAATATATACCGAATATAAAGTAGTTAATTGAAAATGGTCATTGACCGTCTGCTGGCCTGCCTTTGACAAGGCCTACCCCGCCCCTTTCTATCTCTACTGTTTCTCTCTCGATCCGTTCAACCCACTACGAAACAATCCAGTACTGTCAACTACCCAATACAAATAGGGCTAGTATAACGTTTATACAAAAAAGGGGCTGGTACCGGAAAACCACTGGTACGAGGAAATAGTTGGTACTAAAATACTGTTGGTACAAACGCACAGTTAGTACTATGAAACCATCGGCACCAAGGAACTGTTGGTACTATTAAATTACTAGTACTATTAAATTACTAGTACTATTAAATTACTAGTACTATTAAATTACTAGTACTATTAAATTGTTAGTACAAACAATTTGTTAGTATAAGGAATATAAACCTAAATATAGACATTAGGCAAGTAGTTATAACTATTAGAATAATACTCCCTGGACCATATAGCAGACTCCATCTGACCTACTGTAATAGAATATTCGGAGGCAGGAAGTCTTTACTTAACGGGCAGTAGGGAGATAAGCGAATACAGGGGTTGGTAATAAGACTAGCCATAGAGGGTTAGTACGTATAAAATATAGGCTAAAAATAAAATCTTTAGGTATTCCGATTTCGAACTCTACTATACTATTTGTAATAAATGTCTCTGATAATAATAAACTGGTAAGAGGGCATTGACCCCTCCCTCCATAATTCTCTACCCTATATTATTATTAATAATAACATACCTAGTCCAGAGTAGTAGATCGAGGGTTCTGGCTTCAAACCGGCTGCATCGTCAAGGTTTTCGGGGGCTGCGGCGAGGCCGACGGAGAATTCTGGGTGGGTCCGGGTAAGAGGGATAGAGAGCGTACGGTGAGATACCAAGCGACCGAGCGAGGGAAGGGTTGAGAAAAGATTAAAGAGGAAGATAATTGAGGAGTAAGGGGAGTACGACTTTTATAGATATTAAAAGCAGCAGCTGGCCTGTATATACACCTTGCCCGATATAGCGGGCGCTAAACCTAGGGGGGTAGACACCACACGTAAGATTACTAATAATTCAAATATATTTAGACTTAGATAAAAATACTTAAATATAATAATTTATAATATAATTCCTAAATCAGAAAATAATTATTTTTTACCAGTTTCTTTTATTATATTTCCTAAAACTATAATAAATATAAGTAAAAAAAGAATCTAGCCTATAACCAGTATATCAAATGAATAGAGTAAAATAGAATAATGGCTATAATTCTTATTTTAGTCAAGTATAAAACCCGTTACTCTTATTTTATTCATATATTATTCAAGTTATTCATGAATATTCATAAATAACTTGAATAACGCACGTGATCTATACACGTGATAGAGCTAGCCTAGTCAGGTAAGGCTCCGGGAGGGCACGCACCTAGCGCCACCTTGCTACCCAATCAGGTAGTAATAGTACTTGGTAAGCGAATGGAACCTTAGTAATACTTCTAGTTTATTATTATAGAAAATTAGTATTTAAGTACCCTTATATAAGCACTAGCTTAGCTTATATAAGGCTGCTTAATAGGTATCTTAGTTCTTTTTTAAAAATTTAAATATATATTAATTTATTGCAACCACGTGACTTATACGTGATTATTCATAGTTATTTATGGTTATTCATAAATAATTATTCTATTTTACTCAACTTATTTAAGTTACTCGTTACTCATATTTTATTCAAGTTATTTATAATATAAGTCTTTGAAAAATATATATAAGAAGTTATAATAGAAATTATAAGAAATATTATAATAGTTATAATAATTAAGCTAAAATAAATAAAGAATCTAAATAATTATATTTTAAAAAAAGTTAGTTTTAAGTATAATTAGAAAATATTATTCAAGTTAATATAGCCTATAATATAAACCTAGAACTAAGAAAACGAATTTACTATAAATATTATAATAGAAATCAAAATAATAATATTAATTTAAAATATATTTATATTTTTTAGTTTTAATATTTATTAATAAAAAAGCTTATAAATTATAAATATATTTACTAATTTAATAGAAAATAATATAAAGGGCTATTTAATTCTAAATAAGAAAGTATTTCCTTTTTTTAATAAATACTAGTAGTTTAACTAAATTATTTCCTAAATTCAAAAAAGAGAATTTAATTATAACTTGAAAATATAACTTAAGAATATCTAAAGAATAATAGAAGATATCTAATTTACTAAATAAGAAAGAAATAAAAGAACTAGCTAATTAGAATTTATATATAAAAGCAAATAAGTTATATTTAAGAAATCTAAATAGCTACTTTATTTTAAAGGAAATTATATTAGAATTACTAATATTTTAGATTTTAAAATTAATAAATAATATTAAGATTTAGCTATAAATAGTATTTTTATTAATATTATAACGGGTTTCTTATTAAAGAAAAAAAGAAAAGAAATAAAAATAACTAAAAAGGTTTTCTAAAAACGAGCTAAAATAAAAAAAAGCTATTTTATATAAAAGACTAGAAAAATACTATTTCAAAAATAATAAATAATAAAATAATAAATAAAAAAATAATAAATAAAAAAATAATAAATAAAAAAATAATAAATAAAAAAATAATAAGTAAAAAAATAATAAATAAAAAAATAACTTAATTAAAAATATAAATATTAATATTTCCGGAAATAAATAAAATAAATTAGAAACCTAATATATTTTTAATTATAATAAATATAAGATTTCTAAAATTAATAATATTTTAATAAGGCTATTAAAAAAAAGTAATTATTTTATTTCTAAAAACTTAAAAAGAAATAAGAATATTTATTAATATTTAAAAATATTAGATCTAGCTATTATATTTTAGAACTAATAAATTAAGAATAATATTTACTATTTTATAAATAGGAAATACTATTATATTAAATATAATTAAATATATTAGGAAATCTATAAAGCTAGTAGCTATAGCTTATATAATAAATAAAATATTTAAGGAATTAGAAATACTAGTTTAAATATCTAATATTAATAGAATTATTTAATTTAAAAATATTAATATTAATATTCGAATATTACTAGTTTATAAATATATTATATAATTTTCGTATTTCTAATTTATATTTTAAGAATCTTAAAAGAGTATTAAATATAAAGAAATAATTAATATTAGAATTAAAGTTAATATTTTTTCTAAAAAGATTTCTAGAAATATTAGTAAAATAGTATATAATATTATAGATTATTAAATATCTATTATTATTAGGGCTAAATTTAAATTTATAAAAATAATAAAGTTTAGAACTAAAATTATAAATAAAATAAAATATAAAAATACGTTTTTTCTAGTTAAAAGAATTTTAAAGATTTTATTTAGTTAATTATTTTTAGTAAAAATAAAAATAAATATTATATATAAAACTAATAATTTATAAAAAAAAAGATTTATTAATTCTAAAAATAATTAAAATACTTATAATATTATAATTATTTTATTTTCAAAAAATACCGGAAAATAAAAGAAAATTATTATAGATATAATATTTAGGGTTTAGAAAGTAAAATAGAAGGCTCTTATAAAAATAATTCAAAGATAAAAAAGGAAAAACTAGAATATAAAAGGCTATAAGAGAATATATATATCTTATAGTATACTAGTCCCGAAAGGGCTTAGTTTTCTAAATATCTCTAGTGTATTTCAAGTATATTTCTCTAATAAGGCGGCCGTATTATATATATCTAAAAGATATCTAGTATCTGGCTAGGTATTTCAGATATCGGGTATCTGAAAATTATAATATTATTTCTTCTTTTAGAATAAGCTCGTTCCCGAGTTTTATAAAAGCTATTAATTTATCTAATTTCGTATTATTTTCTTTTTTAAAATAAACTAGTATTTCAAATATAAATATTATATATAAAAGACTAATATTTTTAATATATAACTTAAAAGAATTTATTATTATTTCTATATAGTTCTAAATAAGTATTATTTTTTATATAATCTAGCTAATATTATAAGTTTTATAAGAGTTCTAGTATATTAATATTATTATTATAAAAGCTTTATAAAACTAGAGAGCTATTACTTAATACTAAAGCTAGATATTAAACTAGATTCTTATTTTAACTAATTTATTAAATTCTATATTTTAGCTTATTCTTACTAGCTTAATTATAATAACTCGTTTAATATTATATTTTTTTTTATTATTCTCTAGTATTAATAAGGGCAGTTCCGAATTTATTTAACTTAATAAAAAATTCTAAAAGTCTTTTTATAACTTTTCTATATAAAAAACTAGATATATCTTTATAATTTCTAGTAGTTTTAGGAAAAATAAATAGCTATATTATTTTAGAATCTCAAATAGGCTATTTATTTAATTTTCTAGCTTTTGGCTCAAATAATCGGATTTCTAGTATTTTATAATAATTTATATTTTATTTCTAACTTTGAAATTAATTAAATAGTAATATTTATTAGATTATATTATATATTATTCCTGTATTTATTTTATATAGCCTTAAGTAAATTATTATAATTCATGTAATTAATTTACTAATATTTTAGTTTTATTTCTATTTAGTTTCTCTTTAGGTAAATTAGCTTTAATAGAGAAGTTCTAATCCAGAGAAATATAAAACTTATAGCTCTTTTTAGTTATAAATAGAAACTAGCTAATAGTTTTATACTAAAAACAGGCTTATTAATAATTAATTATAATAACTTATTTATTTTAATTATTCTAGTAATAGTTAATATATAAATATAATTTCTAATTAAAGTATTAATTAATAATCTTTATTTATTTATTTAAAGATAATTAGCTATTAAAAGTTTAAGCTTTATACTAATTCTTATATAAAATTCGCTTTAAAAATCGAATATAAATTAGGATTTTTAATCTAATATAATTATTTCTAAAATATCTATTTAATATATTATATAAAATAAAAATAAAAATACTAGTTACTTAGCTATAATTATATTTTATATAGGAATTATAATTAGGTATTTAAATAAGTAATTTACGAATATAGTAATTATATTATAGCCCGGTTTGCTTTCTAGATAGCTTTTAAAATCTATAATAATATATTATTAGAAGTAATTAAGAACTAAAAAGAAATAAAGTAAATTAGGCTTTTTATTTCTAGATATATATAATCTCTTATAAATATAATAATTATTATAGTATTAATTAATATCCTTACCTATAAATAGCTAGTAATATTATTTCTTTAATAGCTAATAAAGCTTTATATATCTAGGATATTTAGAAATGAATTTATTATATATTTTATAAATTAGAATAATCTATAAAAATAATCCGAGAGTTATTTTATTCTCTATAATATAAAGTTTTTTATAATATAAAAAGAAGCCGTTTTATAATATTTAGATATTATTTTTAGTTTAGGCTATTATATATAACTTTTCTAAATCTAGTAATATATAATTATTTTATAAGATCTTATTTATAAGTTATAAACTACTATATTTGGTAAGAGTTTCTAATAGTACTTTTATAGGGGCTATTATAGCAGAATTTACTAGTAAAGCTTCTAAAGAAATAT